ATTTATATCGAAATGGTGTTAGGTCTTTCCTAATAGTGATTTTTGATCCTTCAAGCATCTTTTCTTATTTTATATACTTTTTGCCTATCCTGATATGAGTGGAATTTAACCAGAATAGTTTTATCCGATATTTTAGACGTATATTCTGAGTCAGATATTGTGATATTATCTATCTCCATATTATTATTCAGGAATTGACAGATAGCCCCGTCCCGGTTTGTCTGCTACTTCATTTCTAAACCATGGATCCTCAGGTAGCATCTTCGGCTATTGTGCTCAAGAAAATCGACTCTTTGGTCAATTTTTGCTATTTTGTTTACATTTGTTGATATCCGCTTATCAAAACCAGCGAGTGTTTCTTGAAGTTGCGAGAATTTCGCATCAATACTGGCATTGAGATTGAGAGATCTTGTTGGACGATAAGCCTCACATTTGCATCATTCATGTTATCTGGTTTTCTCGATCGCAGATCTCTGGAACTTTGTGATTGCGAGAGTGTTTCGCTGGCCGGCATCACCTCTATCTTTGCGCAGATACAACGTACTGACCATGCACTGATAGTACCAGGCAATGAAACGAAAACGAACTGGTCACTTGACCGGGAGCGATATTTTGACTATTGAATTATTTGCGCACTACGCCTTGTTCAGTTGATAAGAAGGTTATCGCGATCGTATTTCGTACGTTGAATACTCGAATTATTTGGAAAATAGCGTAAAAGATAACCTCATTTCAAGGATGTTTCAATACTCATATCCAAGAGGAAACACACATAACACATATATTCCAACTATACTTTAGGAATATTTTCGATACACAGGATTCACTTATATAGAGGTGATAGATAATTTACTGGAGGACAACTGAACGATGCTACTCATTTGTCGCTATCTTGCGTTCATCGCACTTTTCAGGACGAAACTCCTCATTTTTTATAATATATTATTCTTGCTGTTGAAAAAATGAAATTTATTCTGAAAAAAATCAACAGAAAATATAACTCAAAAATAAATTATTATCATATTAAAAAACAAAACTCAAACACTGGAGGAAAATATATGAATGGATGTGTCACTTTCTTCAGTTTCTGGCAGTTTCTTCTTCTCAGCTGTTGCCCTTTCTTTTGTCCGCCTAGGAACCTTTTTTTATGCGATCTTCCATTTCTTTAATGGTGTATGATGAAGTCTTTCCATTCTGTTGTGCTGACCCTGCAAATATTTTGTATATTCCTACACTTCGATGCCAACCAGAAAATGCGATATTCTAATTACAATCCTTTAGGTAGTTATTTTTGAATTAAAATTTGACTGAAATTTGCCGATTACTTACGTATAAGGAGTTGGGAAATATACATCTTGGAAAATATCTTTTTCTTCTTCAGCCCGATCCAGCTGTATTCCGCTGCCAATTCGGGGGTCATCAATTTTGTCATCGCCCTCTTCATAAAGTCATTGGCGTTATCGCCCCCTACTTTGGATAATTCGATGATCTGCAATTCAAAAATGAACACTCTGTACTCTTCAACTTTCTGAGGAAACCACGACTGATTATTTTGTAACGTAATGTATAGCAAGTCAGACCACGCCGATCCTATTGTATTCGACAATTCCACGACCTATATACTAAATATTATGAAACTGTCATCTCGATGTCATACCAGGAGACGAGATGTTCTATTCAGATTGGTGGTTGCCGTGACGACGTGGTCATACCGGCTCGAGAGGCAGAAGCAGAGTTATATGACGTAATGTATCGCAAGTCAGACCACGCCGATCCTATTGTATTCGACAATTCCACGACCTATATACTAAATATTATGAAACTGTCATCTCGATGTCATACCAGGAGACGAGATGTTCTATTCAGATTGGTGGTTGCCGTGACGACGTGGTCATACCGGCTCGAGAGGCAGAAGCAGAGTTATATGAATTTCTTTTACGACGTGGAGTTGTCAGGGAAAATACCATGAGTGCTCGCAATACTATCGATAGTGATTCTGTCAGAAATCAACCAATTACTTGGTAACATCATATGAGTCCGCACAGAAATTATAAATAAAAAATGTGAATCCCAATATAGACATATAAACACAATATATACAATTTAATAGAAATTAATTATTAACATTAAAAATTACAATAAAGACAAATAAACACATACAAAAAAAGGAGAATATGAATTACCATATCAACTATATTAATTGAATCTTCATTCCGAGTAGTGAGAGAAAAACTCTTGGTCTGAATAAAAACAATTTTCTATGAAAACATCTCTCAAAGTTCTTCTGAATTTATTCAGAGACATGCTATTGTCTTTCAGCTCCAATGGTGAACAGTTGAAGAATTTGTAGGATATATATAAATAAGAAAACTGAGTGTGATGCAGTCTAAATCTTGGCAATCTCAGCAATCTCAGCAATGACTGAGATTTTGTGAGATGATCATGAGTATCTCCAAGTTCAACAGTTGTTCCTGCTATTGTCAGCTTTTTGACATGATATAAACACTCTAGTATTAAACAACACAGGAGAGAAATAACTCGGAAATGTTGAAACAGGGGTCTAGCTTGAGCCTCCCATTTGGCCTTACCCATAACATGTATCAATAAATTGGATCTCGTTGATTTCCGGCAGAATTACTATCGATAATATTGCGAGCACTTGTGATATCACCCCTCAATATTCTGATCATCGATTGTTCAAAAAAACAATCTTTTTGATTAAAATGGAAATGAACATCCTGTCAAGATGACAAGATGTGACATGACATTCCAGAACATTCGAGAAACAATGAAGATTATAATATATAAGCAGCGCCTGCTCAGCATAGAGCCAGTTGAAGAGAAGGTGAGATACAGTGTACTTGACATCTGAAAACACAGGGTGTCCCATAAGAAAAAAAAAACAATACTTTTGAACCATCAACAATTGGATAACCATATACGGTTAAGTTTGATTAGAAATGACCCCCCCCCCTCTTACCGTCCCACTGCCTTCGATCCATGACTCATGAAACACCCTGTATAGCAGTAGTTATGAATAATAATAATAAAAAAAATAATAATAAAATGTGTTTATTTCAATAATAATCCTCGGAGACCTCCAGTTGAAAACTGCTCCACTTAACCGAGTACCAGTTACACATAAAAGATTAACAAATAAAAATGGTTACCTATATACCTATATAATACATTCTCATCAGACTATAGTATGAAATATGCATGGTGTTTGGTGTTTATAGGATAATACACATAACAGAATCATTGATATTGATAACGATTACAAAAGTGCACAAGAAGTAAGATTTGAAGATCAAAGACCCAATAGATATTCCCTATAATAAGTGTTGTATTAGTGAAAATAAATTAGTTTTGGAAATGAACTCTGCAAGTTTCATTCCAAACCCTTGTGAAACGTAACAATATTTATTTTCACCGTTTCCAATGCCTCATAGACAGACATATTTCTTATTCTATGACCCTGTAAATATTTTGACCTAATCATAGCTTACCGATTTTTCATGTTCTCCTCATCACTGAGGAATTTTTAGAAAGAAGTCAAGACTTCTGTGGTGGACAAAGGAAATTTAAATTCCACTCATATTTTGGATCTCGATGTTAGAAACGGAGGATCTATCTATGATCTTTCTTAGATCACACATATCCATTACCATAATTATCACTTTCCAAATTACTTGCTTGTAAAAACCTGTGAAATTGAAAATATTATTGATAATGACAAAATATCTTGAATATCGTGTTACCAGTATTATTGGCAGCTTCATGCTTGTGGATTACACAGAAGGTACATTTATCAGTTCCAACATCGGTTGTAATATCAGATGATACTTCTTCTGCCAATGTGTTTGTAGAGCTGAAGACATTGTAATATTTACAAGATTCAAACAATGGTGCACTGTTAGGAAATTGTAAGCAGTCGTTGGATAGATAACATGACGAACAATTTCAAAGAGAAAAAGGTTAACTGCATATTTCTAGGCTCAAAATAAAACACTTTGAAGAATGTTGACTTAAAACACATTTACAATGAATAACTATTCCACTACCTACCAGAGAAATCACCATTATTCGAACATTTAAGCTGGATTTATAAACTTTCCGTTCGCCGTTGTCGTTGGCGTTCGCGCTGACGTTCCCAATTAAAAGTACAGAAACCCGTAAGACCATTTATATCTACCGTCGGCGCTGCCGTTCGCCGTTGGGCTGCCGTTCGACTTAAATGAACTTCAAGTTTCGCCGTCGGCCGTTCGTAGCATCGTTCGTAGCAAGTCTGAAGAGCCAATCAAAGCGATTTTTAGCTGTCACTTGGCTTACGTCATATGTCAAATGCCATGTATTGACATTTGGATTTGGCAGAATTTGGCTCATTTGGATTTTGGGTTTGTGTTTGTTTTTTGTTGTTTGAGTTGAAATAGTTGAATAGGAGTTTAGTTTGTTTTGTTGTGACAGAGATAGAAGTGTGGATAGTTTTATAAACTTTTTTTTTCATTAATAGAAGTATAGAAACGCTTGCAGGTGGGTAGATAGGTAAATATTTCAGTTTTTCAGTTCATTTATTTGTTCTATCTTCTACAGATGTCTGATCCGGATCACGATTACATCCTTGAAGATTTTTGTGAACTGGAGGCGGCGGAGGCTACCCAGAGCCAATCGGGTTAGTAGTTTTCTCAGTTTTGTCGTCCGTATTTTATGTTTTATATATGTATATATATATATATATTTTTTTTTACAGAAATACCCAGTGAACAGGAAGGTACTCTGGACCCAGGCCTCTTGATAGAGGCAATTCAACAATTTGAGTACCTGTATGATTTGTCCAACAAATCATACAAGGACTCCAAGAAAAAATACCAGGCTTGGCAGCATAATAGCAGGGTGCTAAACTCTGGTGGTGAGAAAAATATCTGAGTACCTAAATTGTTTATTTCAATGCTTTATCTGAAAATATTTCAAATATTGTCTGTTTTAGTTGAAGAGTGCATGAAACTTTGGAAGCACCTCAGGGACCGCTTCGTCAAAGAAAAGAAAAAATTTCCCTCGGGTGCTGGTGCACCTATCAGCAATTGGGTGCATTTTGATGCCATGCTGTTTTATAACAAATTTACAAAGAAAAGAAAGTTAGTATTCACTGTTTAATTGACTTTTCCACATTTCGTATTATATATGCATATTAATAATTTTGGTGTTATGCATTATAGGACATTTACTGCCACTAAAAAAACCCCTATTAGTAGACCATCATCGTCAGCCTCTGTGTGGAGCACAGTTACGATGGAGAGTGTAACGTCTCCAGAAAGTAGAACGGAAAGCCCCCTGGAAGAGGCAACCAGTCCTGGAAATTTCACTGAGGAGGAAGAACAACCAGTGGCCGATCCTAGTGGCATCAAAAGGAAGCTGCCGACTGGTAGGACGCCCACCACACCTATTGGTAATATATATAAGTAAATAGTATGTGTAAGTTGGCTTATCGAAATATTTTCTACCACAGGAGTACAAGGACGCAAAAAAAAATTAACAAGGAGGAAAAACTGGACGAAATTCTGGGAATGGCTAAGTCAATCACTATTGTTTTTGGAAATAGGCAGGCCGTTCCCAGTAACGCAAACAGCACGTTTGTGCAGTACTTGTATGAAGAGTTAGAGAGGATGCCAGCCGAAGAAGCTCTGCAAAAGCGAAAACAAATATTATTGCTATTATTCAATGATGAATAAAAAATCAAAACCTTTTTTAAGATTTTTAATTTATTAATATTTTCAACCTCCAAAAATGAACATGATCAAAGTACATTTAATTTCAATCTCCAAAAATAAACATGATCAAAGTACTCTAAGGAGAAGTAAACTTTTTTAACCTACCTGAATAATAAAAAAAAATAACCTGATGTAAATAATGAGAAATGATCCATACCCAGATAGCACAATGTCAATCATAGAACGTTCATGGAATATTCTTCAAGAATATTAGAATATTCTCAGACTATTCTCACAATATATAATACAAATATTCTAGGGACATTCTATGAACATTCGTAATGGACTGTTTCAAATATTCTGAGAATATTCCTAGTATATTGAAGGAGAAAAAAAAGCTCTGGTGGATATGCGAACCCACTATCTTGTGATTGAATTTTCACGGACCTGAAACCTTACCACTGCGCCACGGACTTTATTGATGTATAAAATGAATATCAAAATAACAACGATGAATTAGTGGGATAATCAGCATTGAGGCTCGATAATAGTAGATTGTGTCAGGGTGAACATTATGAATATTGATACTAGAATAGGAACATGAATATCATATATTTCGATACAATTCTAAATATCCTCAGAAAACTCGAAAAGAATATTCTCAGAATATTCGAAGAGAATATCCTAAAATATGTCGAATTGAATGTTCATAGAATATTTGTTGCATTAATGAGAATATTCTATGATCATTCTGAGAACATTCTATCAGAATATTATCCTGATATAAGCGAGTGCACGCTATTAAAATTACGCATAAACGACTTGGAATATATTACAAACATCCAAAAGGTGTTGATTACTTTATATGAGGAAATAAACAAGGGAAATTCAGAGTATAGAGGTAAACAAACACCCTCCTCTCTCCACACCTCCTGTCCACATTCTGACACGCGGAAACCTGCCTGCGCTGTCTTCACTTGTTCCAGCGGTTCCAGCAAGAATTTTATCTCTCTCTACCGAAAACGGAATCCAGACGCAAGAATTCACTTTACCACGACTTGTGACAGCCAACGACACATCGACGTCGAAGAAAACTGGCAACAATGCTGGTAGTTCATTTGCATCAGCAGTCAGTCGTCAAAACCTAACGTCAAATATCAGCACTTCCATTTCCACAGTGAAACAAAATATGAACGAACCAAAAATAACTAACCAAGAAGTTGGTGCTGCAATTCTAGATGTGCAGACACGAAATATATTATATAACGTTCAGCAACTCGCAGGGAGAAACCCGCAGTTGCAGAACGAGGACGGCTGGGAACCTGCAAAAACGAGAAGGCGCAGACGCTTTGTGGTCGGAAAAAACAATAATGATGCAGAAGTTCAAGAAGTGCCCGCCTTTATATCTCTACATGTAATCCGTTAACAGAAACTAAAAACTACAAATTTCTATGAAAACCTGTTATCTGAGGAGTATGACATAATTGGATTAACAGAAACCTGGCTGTGTGAAGGTATATATACTACAGATCTATTTGATGAGAGATATGTTGTTGTGAGAAGAGACAGAAATACAACTGCTACTCGCGGAGGAGGGGTCTTGGTAGCATTTAACAAAACAATGTCATATGAAGTTGTAGATACCGAAAGCTGTGATACTGAATGTGTTATTGTGAAGTCAAGATATAAGAAGATAACCTACTATGTGTCTGTGGTATATTTCCAACCTAATTCTAAGCTAGACATGTACATACACTATTTCAAGCTGTTCTAAAGTAAGTATTTTAAATGATCAGAACTATCTAATAATTCTAGGAGATTTTAATTTGCCAACTTATATGAACTGTGATAATGAGAGGAATATTCTACTGCAGGAGTTTCTCAATTTTAATAATCTAACACAATATAATGATATAAAAATTTTTAGGGACATGTGCCTTGATCTACTCATATCCAACTATACCTTGAGGGATATAATTTCATATACCTCTGAAAGACTCTACCGAAGCCAAAGGTACAATAAAAAAGCAGTATTCATACGACTACAGAAAAGGTAACTGCATTTTATCAGTTAGTGAAAACTCACAATTGGTCAGATCTTCTCAAATGTGAGAATGTTGATAACTGCCTTGATTTGTTTCATAAAATAATATACTCTTTGTTAGATCAAACCATACCGAAGTATACAATAACAAAAACTGCACGTAGGTAAGCCTAAATATCCATCTTGGTACTCTCTTGACTTGATAGGTAAAATAGGGAAAAAGAATCATTTTCATAAATTAGTACAAAAAAGTAGAGCAGATACAGTGCAAAAAAACGTGTATAGTGGATGAAAGGGCAGATAAAATTCTTCGTTGAAAATTTTCCTGAAAACGAAACTTGATACTGGATTCGCAACTTCTTCAGTATAGAGTGAGTAGAGTTTGGTGATATTCAAATCAGGTGCCAAATATTTACGATTCCTTGATTTGTGAAGGACATAGTGGCTTTCATATGCTGGAAATTCTTCTATAAAAGCCTTCAACTCAGCGATTTTATTTAGTGAAGTCTTATTTACTGATGGAGCTTTTCCTCTACGGTCACAGGGAGGGGTGGACTGTTGTCCTTTGAATTTGAGGACTCTATCAATCCTTCTAGCTGATACTCTCAATGTATTTTGGAAAAATTCCTTGCACACCTCAACTTCGACTCCCCTGGCATCTATCAAGCAATATACACGCGTTTTATGTCTTGAGATTCTCAGTGTGAGTGCGTTGTTTATTACATACTTTCACGATAGTGAATAAATATGATGTTTGCATATTGTGGGTATCCACATTGTAGAATTCGTTGAAAATTTTTAATTGTCTTTCCTGGGATACTATTGTATGGCATTTATTATTACAACGACAGGGGCCTGTTTTTGGTTGTTTTTGAGGTACGACATCCCATTTAACGTTAAGTGCTTGTTCTTTCTGATATTTAATTTCCATACTTGCTTTTTTACACGTTTTTTCCTCTTGGCTTGCTAGTTTTACCTGGATCTCGCCCGGCATTCACTGGAAGCACTGTGTCAGAATCTGATTTACCGCTAGAAAAGTCGCTCATTCCAGAAGGAATGTATTCAGAACCAGAATCAGCGAATTCAGGAGGTTCTTCGCCACTCTCAAACAAACCTGAGAACATGAAAATATTCAATGAGCTGAAGATCATAGACATTCACCGTATACTTACGTTGCAGTTCCTGTTCAACGGATTTATCCATCAGGCTCAATCATTAATCAAATAAACAACAAATAGATAGACATCCAACAGTTTGTAAACAGGAAATGCGAGTAATAATACACATAACCATAACACCACATTTCAACATAACCAGTGCAAAAATGGACTAACCCGCTTATTTAGTCCATTCTTGCTCTTCAAAATATCTGAAACTCTGAAATTTAATAACGGTTTAGGTACTGCCATCTACTGAATATAAAGAGAAGGTGGTTTAGACTGTTTTTACATTATACTTTATGATGTATGGTTGTCATTAATGTCATTATTGGAGAATTGACGAATTCTCCAGGTAAAGAAAGATTACCACACACAGTTTTCAATCATGGTTTAACCCACCATGTCTTTGGTTTCCTACTGCTTCTTCTTTGATATAGTAAAACAGCACTGAGACTGAGTGAACTGGTTACAACTACTGCTGCTGCAATCCTAGACCTAGACATGTTGGAATTGATTCATTTAATTATACCTGTATATTTCATATTTCATTGTATAATAATAAGATCAGGATTATCCCGTAAAGAAAATATCAGAAATAAATGCTTAACCTCAAATATCAATTTATTACTTGAAGTTGATAATGCTGTTGTTATAGAACGTACCTATTTATTTCTTGAAAATGTGACATAAATATTATGATGTACGGCGACCTGCAATAAATTGAAAAAGTTGCGAGAAAATTGCATTGCCTCAAACTGGCCGAGAAATAGCATATTGTACAACGCCCTTATAACCCATAACCTCAAAGTAGTCAACCAATGGGAATTGGGCATGTGGGGAGGGGGAACGCTACTGCGCAGAAAATTGGTGGAAACAAGAAAAACACTCGGAATAGTTAGAAAATACCGAAAATGCTTTCAGTCTCCAAGTCTCCACTTATCACTTATAACCTCGAAGTGGTCACGGAGAAACGCTACAGCGCGAGAGCGAAAAATATTAATCATCGCGGTGGGGGAACGCTACAGCGCGAGACCACGGGTACTGATCATCCCAACGAATATCCTTAATTGGCGCAGAATCAAGTTTGCAGAGAATTTACGGCCGAGAGTCCTAGAAAAGTCATGTAGCTATTATATAAGCGTTTATATTGATATAAAATTTTTACATATCAGTTACGTCATAGTTACGTTACATTTTTATATAATTATGGGGTTCACATATTCTAGAACTGTTATGGAATATTCACGTGAATATTTTATATAAATACAAGGTTTACATATTTTAGAGTTATTATGGAATATTTACGTAAATATTTTATATAAAAAAGTTCCGTTGATGTTATATAATAGTAATGTAAATAAAACAGATATGTTTTCTGGGTTAATAGATGAGTCAACAGATGTCAGTATATCTGAAAGTTTGATGATTGTTGCAAGGTATTGAGATGGTGACAAAGTGAAAGATTCATTTCTCTCCCTTATCGAATTGGAATCATCAAGAGCTGAATGCATTACTAAGAAAATTGTAGAAATGTTGCAGTCAAATGATATTCCTTATAAAAATCTTGTAGGGTTAGATGCAGACAATGCTGCTGTGATGATGGGACAAATAAGTGGGGTACGAGCTCGATTGGGAGAATTTGTTTCAGATTTATTTGTTCTTGGGTGTACCTGTCATTCATTTCATTTGTGCTCATCTGCAGCATGTCTTCAGCTTCCTAGGGCGATTGAACAATCTGCTAGAGACATCTATTATTATTTCAGCAACAGCTCCAAGAGATATCTAGAATTAGAAGAATTCCGAACCTTCTTACATAT